GAGTTAGGCTGATGATACAGGGGGAAACATTTTGAGCAATGTTGCTGGGCAACTTTGGGCAATGTTGCCATCAACAGGCAACCAGGTGAGCCACAGGGACCACGACTGATATAAAATATCCAGACAGAAATTTGTTACCCATTCGCAGTGGGAAAGTGCCTAAGCAACATATTGCTCAAAAAAAATTGCCCAGCAAAATTGCTCAAAAATAGATTTTTGGCATCATCCACTGTAATGTAATAGTTCAGATTAGTAAAGGTACCAAGTGTTTTTTTAAACTCTTCTAAATCTCTTTCTGTTTGAGTGAACATCTGAAATGCCACTTGCTCAAAAAGTTGCCTTGATGATAAAAATTCATGATGATACACGGGGCAACTTTTTGAACAAGTGGCATTTCAGATGTTCACTCAAACAGAAAGAGATTTAGAGGAGTTTTAAAAAACACTTGGTACCTTTAAGTCTGCTTATCTGAACTATTACATTACAGTGGATGATGCCAAAAATGTATGTGTGTATGTTTTATGGGTGGTATAGTGAATTAACCTTGATCCAACAATAATTTGTTAATTTTATTTCAGTAATTTTTTTCACTCATGTAGCCTAACCAAGAAAGAAGACAGCGGTGTCATATGACAATAGGCAGACATTAGCACGTGATGGAACAAAGTAAAAGCAAAGCAACCAGGAACTCGTTTATCATCACCTCCTTTACAGAGTCCAGAAGTGCAGCTTAACAGGAGTACACAGGTGAGACGAGATACATCAATTCATTTTTTCCTCACTTGTATCTATTTAATAAAAGTCCTTTTTGTTGGTGTTCTCTGTCAAAACACTTTCTCTTTCTGTTTTAATTATGCCATTGACTGGGTTTATAATAGCTTTCCTCAGTGATTTGTAATGATAGTGTGTATTGTCCAAAGCCCCTGATTTTTTTAAGATAACGTCAGATAATATAGATTTTTTATTAAATTCTTGCACTTTCTTCTGTACTAGTGGTGAAAAAGAGAAAAGTTTTTTTTTCTATGTAAACTTCATACGGCAACAGACGTCTTTGACCCTTGCGCCTCGCCTCTCTGCTTTTTCAGCTTCTCACGCCACGTTTTTAAAATGCTGTTTCAAGTTTAAAAATGTGTCTCGACAGTCTGTGTTCTTCCATTTTGTTTGCATATTTAAAGCACAAATACGTTCTGTGTGAATGGCGTTTGTGTTCAGCTCACTGCAGTATTAAAGTACCTGTTCCGGCCAGTAGGTGGAACTGAGAGCCCGTTTTCATTAAATCGCTATTAATTCAAAGCCCCAAAGTATGGAGTCAATATAATTCCACATATATATGCAAAATAATAAAGTTTTGCAAAAGAAAATAAAGTTTTGCAAACGAAAATAAAAGTATTGAGAAAAATAAATGTGTTTTTTGCAAACAAAAATAAAGAATTGCAAAAGAAAATGAAGTATTGCGCAGAAAAAAAGAAGTTTTGCAAACAAAAATAAAGAATTGCAAAATATAAATGAAACAGCACAAAAGCAATGATTTTGCAATACATATTTTCCATGGCCATATCTACTAATTTATTTGCAACGCTGCTTTTATTTTGCGTTTCAGTCAAGTTTGAGCTTGCGATACCGTTTTTCCCTTTGCGCTTCACGTTTCTGCGCGTCTCGCTTTCTGGCACTGTTTTGACATGGGGGTGGAGTCAAGGGACGGGGGCGTGTACAACAGGCCTGGGCATGCCTCCCTGGAAGTGACGTCATCGGCCTGAGACACAGCTCACTGATCCAGGCACCATCGTTGAGCAGAGGCATTCGGGTGGATCGTTTCCTTTTATTCTCTAGCATTAAAACATGCATGTTTTCGTTTTATTAACAAATGTATATGTGTATTAGCAGTGTTTGCTCAAGTTAAAAAAGTTGTTAACATGCACAATGTGCACACTTTTATAGCATTAAAATGTGTATTGTTTCATTTGGTTAACTAAATGTGTTTGTTTAAAATCTCTTAACCTGTGGGAGGACGCCAGCGCACAGAAGCGTTCTTTGTTTACATGAGCTCAGAGTTACTGCTAGTTTTAATGTTAAAGGATCTCGACTTTGTTTTTCATTTATTTACATCATTAAAAAGGTCTACGACTCAAGCTTCATATCGATCTCGAACTTTCATTTTCGTTTGCAAAACATTTTCTTTTGCAAAACTTTATTTTCTTTTGCAAAACTTTATTATTTTGCATATATAAGTGGCATTATATTGACTCCATACCACATACTAACCAACCCTAGCAACTTCCCTGGTTTCGTTCCATTGATATGAACATATAAATGGACATATATATCGTTTCAGTAGTCATTCACTAAAATAATCTCTTAATATTGTGGCTTATATGTCGGCCAGCTGTCAACATAATGCAATGAGAATATATTATCACATAAAATATTGATGTTTGAATGCATGGCAGTAATTATCACTTGCCGTTTTGTTCTTGTCAGTCCATGATGCTCGGGAGCTTGCTGTTTGCCGTGTGTTGTAGCGCAGCACTGGCCCATTTCAACACAAATCTAGACCAGCACTGGGAGTTGTGGAAGAAGATGCATAACAAGTTTTACTCCAGTAAGGTGAGACCATGAATTTCATTAATCTGTCAGATGATCCAAAAGATGATCTTGTACCTACATCTAGAATATATATTTTTTAAATCACATGTTCTGTGAGGAATACAAACTCAATTTCTTCCTTGTTTCTTATCAAACTGGTAAAGCTTGATTCATGGGCTTGTTTGTTATAGAAATAATAATGTATTCATTTGAGACTTAAATATTATGACCAGTGATATCAATAGTTTTATATATTGCTGTATTAAACTGTGGAATTTCTGTTGTTTATATTGGCAGGTTGAAGAACTGGGCAGGAGGGAGTTGTGGGAGAGAAACCTTGAACTTATCACACTTCACAACCTGGAGGCCTCCATGGGCCTGCATTCATATGACCTGGGCATGAACCACATGGGTGACATGGTAAGAACCACTGCATTTCTTTGTCTGTGGTTTTTGTTTTCATGCACTTGCATTCAGTTTGCTTTAAAAAAAATAAAAAATAAACTTCTGGCACGCAATACTGCTTTATTTCCTTGTTTCTATTTTTTAGCATGAAGCTATTCTGTGTGAGGGAACATATTTTTTCAGCCAATATATTATCTTTACAAAAGGTTCTAGATGTTTAAGTTAATGTAGTGTCTAGAAATTGCACAGCCATAAAGTTTTACACTTTGGCAGACATCGGCTATATCAGGTGCAGTGACAATTTCATCATCTGACATTCAAATTGTCCTCTTTGTTTTGTTGATTCACAGACAACAGAAGAGATCCTGCAAACGTTAGCCACTACTCGTGTTCCCCCTGGCTTTAAGAGGCAAACAGCAGAATTTGTGGGCTTTTCTAGAGCTGCTGTCCCAGACTCTTTGGACTGGAGAGAGAAGGGATATGTCTCCAGTGTGAAGATGCAGGTGTGATTATACCATTTGTTGTTGTTTTTTTAAATACAAAAACAAAATGATTTTCTAATTTAGATTTTTGTCTGAGTAGTCTTTTTGTTTCTTTTGATAGACCTGAGACAAAAGCATTTTTAAGAATTTCAGGTTCACATTGTATTGCTATTATATGTAGCTTGAAGTCAAAAAGTGTAAATATTCCACAGTTCTTGTGTTTCCTCGTTTTAGTAGTTTTATCATACTTCTCTCTCTGCTGTCAGGGTGCATGTGGTTCGTGTTGGGCGTTCAGCGCTGTTGGGGCTCTTGAAGGTCAGCTGATGAATACCACAGGAAAGCTGGTCGAACTCAGTCCTCAGAATCTGGTGGACTGTTCCTCCAGTTACGGCACCCATGGCTGCAGTGGTGGTTGGATGAATGATGCCTTCCAGTATGTTATTAAAAATGGTGGAATAGACTCAGAGTCATCTTACCCTTATGAAGGAGTGGTAAGTTGTTTGTGTGGGTCTAAGTGAAGAAGAAACAAGTGATAATTACCGAAACATGGTAGAAACATTTCATATTAGAAGTGTCAGGAACTGTCACTGCAAGATTTTAGCGATATGTATACAGACAGCTGGATCTGTCAGTGCTTGGCTCATTTTTAAAAAGCTGCAACCCATTATTATGAATATAATCTAATAAATAAATGTGTTCTGCAGCAAGGGCAGTGCAGATACAATCCATTCCAGCGTGCAGCAAACTGCACCAGGTACTATTCTGTCAGTCAGGGAGATGAGGAGGCCCTGAAGCAGGCTGTTGCCAACATCGGGCCCATTTCAGTGGCCATTGATGCCACCCGTCCTCAGTTTATCATGTACCGTAGTGGTGAGTATTTCTTTCTCATCACATTTCAGTCAGGCCGATTACCAAGTTTTCAGGTTGCAAACTGAAGGTCAAAATTATTTTTATTTTTTGTTGGTAGCTATTATAATGTTATCTCACATCTGTCCACAGGAGTTTACAATGATCCATCTTGCAGCAAAATCATAAACCATGCAGTGCTGGTTGTGGGATACGGTGCGATTGCGGGACAGGACTTTTGGCTGGTCAAAAACAGGTACAATCATAATGATTGTTATGAACTTACTGGGTCTAATTTTGTTTTTCGAAATATACCCAGTGTAGTCTTGGTAGTCTTAGTGTAACAAGAGAACTTCTATTTCAAACAAAACATTGAGATGAATAAATACATATGCTAGTTATTATCTTTTGCTTGAACAGTTGGGGTACTGGATTTGGAGATGGTGGCTACATCCGTATGGCCAGAAACCAGAACAACATGTGTGGCATCGCCTCATACGCATCCTATCCGGTTATGTAACTGAAACCCACGTTGAAATCTATGAATATAGATAAGAAATAAGAAATATTTTATTTAATTTCTTAGCTGTGAATGAGTGTTCTATATACTATGTTTTTTTTCAATTTCCATTGTCTTTTTAAAAATCCAAATGTATTTTAAGAATGTCTTGCAATATAAATATAATTTTTCTCTCTTGTAAAGCTTTAAAAGAAAAAAATGCTTTCACTCTATTCAGTATGTTTACAAATGACTTGGTTTTATTCAGTGCAACATCACAACGAACAGTTTCACATGAGGTATTAAAGGATTTTTCAAGATCAGCACACAATGTCCAGTTATGATTGACATTTAGATTGCTGTGATTTTTACACCTTTGGTTGATTAGCCACATTCATAAGGTAACACAAGGGAGAGAATGGCATAAAATGACACAGATGTTCACACCAGCAGAAAGAGATTTTAAATGAGTGATAGGTAAAAGAAAAAAGAAAACACTTGCTACCTTTTCAGTCTGTTTATCTGAACCGTTAATAAGTGGAACTCCAGATGCCAAAAATGCCTTGAGAGAATGAATTCTGTCAGCCTATGATCCAACAATCAAGTTTGCTAAAATCATATTTTTATTCGGGCGATTCATATGACACAGCTAAAACATAATTGCATGATATTTGTAGAGACAAACATATTTAACATTTATTTTGGTCTCTATCCTCACTTTTACATGGTAACACTTATTTGGCTTTTTTTTTTTCTTTTTGGAGGGATAAGCAATCATAAGATCAGCAAGACCCTCTCTCTTGCTCCGATTGTCATTCCCATTTGGTCTTTATACTGATAAATGTTCTTCAATCGCTCTCTCTCTCTCTCTCTCTCTCACACACACACACACACACACACTCAGACAAACAAGGTTCTCTCTGCCTGCAGGTAGAGCTGTGATTTAGTTGTGTTCACGGATTGATTCCAGCACATTTGGCTATAGTAACGCACAGACGCTCCCTGAATGGATGGGATCTTTGGTACAGTTACATCTCAGCTACACGACACATCACACACAGTTGAGGTCGATGAAATTAGAGCTGTCGGGTAGGCTAGAACAAAAATGGCCAAACGGGTTCCCCTCAGTGGGACGGCGAAATGGAAATATCACCTAAGATTTACACATTGTAGTAACTCTTTCAAATGTATCTGAAGATGTTGAACACTACGAGAATATGGCGTGATTTATGCTCCTCTCAGTAAGCGTGTGAACAAAATGTCCACTGGGAGGCGCCAAATACTAAATTACGTTAGACGCGTCTGCCATGATCTGCTAAACTTGATCTTCGGGACGCTACAGGTCGTCGAGTGATCTCTAACCATCTACCGCGTAAGTTTGCAAATTATTATAACCTAAATCATTACATCTCTACAAAAAGAGAGGCCCGGCTAACCACCAGTGCTGCAACAGGGTGACCTGGAGAGTTGAGACGCACACACACACCTTTGCCCCTTGCGCAGCACGCTTACAATTGTCGCTCATTAAACTTTAATTCACATCCCCAAACTCCCATTCACCACCCCTCCCCTTCCTCACCGTGATTCGGTAATGCTGCTAGCCTCTGATCTGCCACCCCTCCCCGTGAACGCCCTAAGCCCATGGGCCCTACCGAGTGCAGAGCTCCGGCCCCAGCCGCTGAGAGGACACAGATAAAAAGGGCCTCTTTGAAGTCGGCAAAAGTCGATGGCCTTTTTCATGGGCCCTCTTTCAAGTGTGTGCTGTGAAGGGGCCTCGCTACATGCCCTGCAAAGGTTAAACACGGGGGAATGTGAAAGAGCATTGAAAAAGGGACGATCTCTCCCTCGACGGCCCAACCCGAGAGACCACGGCACAGCACGTACAATCATCGTACAGTAAATGTGGACTGCAGTGAGGAGATCACAGTTCAACAGCCTAAATATAGAATCATCTCGACTTCACAGCCACTTGTGTGCTGTTTTACGATCACGCTGAGACTCGATTTGTTTGGTCAGGCTGTGGCCTAAAGGGTCTAGACATGCAGCACATGTGAACGATGAACATGGATGGGTACGCTAGCTTGGATATCGAAATACTAACACAGCGTTCAGGAGATGAGAAACGTCGGACATTCAGGGAGGACAAATATTCATCTTTGGTATTGGGACTCCTATCAGAGATAGGGGCCATTTTTCACACACAAACAACACTCGGTGAAATAAATACTGACGGTAACTAGCAAATAAATAAAATAAATAGCTAGAAGATTGGAAATAAATACATAAATAATTATAAATACACAAAGTGGTTCTCAGTTCATGTTCAATTCAAGCTTTTTGTGAGTATTTTTCATCAGGTTCTTCGAGATTTTGAGCTTTTTCCGGTACGAACAGCCATCGGCCAGATTGTGTGCTTGAAATTTTTACAAAAACAAATGGATTTCTCCATCCTCAGTGTGACATCTAAGGAATCATTTGAAATCAAATGGAAAGTATGCAAGAGCGTCCTGGATTCCTCTTCACAGCCATTCTGTCAGCAGAAACTCACCAACAAGTTAAAAGTCTGTTGCTAAAAGAGTCATAGCTGAGTTCCTCCTCATATTGTCTGAGAGGATGCGACTCCAGTCCTGTGCTGAGACTGTAGTTGTCACACAGCAGATGCCTTTTTTGGACTATGAGGCCTGGCTTTTTGTTACGAAGGTGTATACAAAGAAAACAAGCTCCTAAAAAATGTTCATATTTTGGTTTCAGCTTCTTTATCCAGTAGTTTTTCCCCTTTAAAAGAATCTCTGAAAGATTCATTTGCATCCTTCTTTGTTTCTTTGGTCATTCATTTTCCATTTGTTGCAAAATCATCTCTCTCTCTTTCGAGAACTCTAAAAATATCATTTTGACGGTCATGATCAACAAAGAAAAAACAGAAACATTTGCACTGATTTTAGACGCTGTAATGAATTACAAAATTAATAGATTCAATATCTATTCAGTAGCTTTTCATAACCCTCAATATGTTGATTAGTGAGTGATTTCATAAGCCCTGATGTGTCGGGCCAATCCTTTGCGATTAAAGCTAAAATAATCAACGCTAAATCTACAATCATATCCTGTCTCATCTAGACATTGCGAACATCAGACTTCATCTTTGGTTTCATATGCTGTTGATTTGTATACAAAAACACCCTTGATTAAAAATCTCAAACTCTAGGAGCTACAGGTAAACCTGTGCTGTGCAGAGCAAAAAACGGCTCATTTTCCCTTCACGCCGTGGAGCAGGTCACAGCTGGAGATGCAGTGCTGGACCCCGATGAGCCAGTGGAGGATGGGCGGCCCTCTTCGGTCCAGCGGTTGAGGTTTCTGCGGCGAGCGTTCATGAAGAAGTTGCTTACTGTGGAAAGCTCAAGGCCAAGCTGCTGAGAAATGGTGATCTGCAGGTCTTTAGTCGGTCGGTGGTTCTCTCTGAAAATGGCCATAAGAGTGCGACGCTGCAGGTCTGTGAAGACTAGCCGGGTACGCTTGGGCCCCTGGTTGCGTTCTAGCTTGGATTGCTCCTGCTCCTTACGCTTACAAGCTGAAAAAGAGACAGAGAGAGAAAAAAAAACATTAGTCTACAAATAAGACCTGAAAATCTTAATTGGTCTTTCCATTATCATTAGCAATTTATCTTTGCTGTCTAATAGGCTCCACACTTAGTTAATTGCGGAAAACATAAATAGTTTGATAAAGGTCTATTCAGTGTAGATTTTTAACGTGTGGCTTGCATCATTAACAATAATATAATTTTAAAAGTTTCAAACTGTAAACAGCAAAAAAAAGAGAAAGATGCACAAATAATGGTTGACAGTTTCATCAAGGAAATTATGGTCAAAGGCGGAAATATTCTCAGATTTTTAAGATCTCAACATTTTAAAATGCTAACCATTGAATCTGAAGTACAAGTAGTTTAAGGGATAATAATTAAGTCCTTTGCTTTTGTAGAAAAATATGCAAATGATCAGGAAATTACAGCCGAAAGCTAAAATGTTGAAACATTGCATCTGAAGTGCAACTAGTTTGAGATGATGAATAAGTACTTTGCTATTGTAGAAGACCTTTGCTGTTGTAGAAAAAATATGCAAATGATCAGGTAAATACAGTCAAAAGCTAAAAAAAAGAAAGATTGCAAATTTTAAAGATCTCACCATTTTAAAATGTAAAACATTGCATCTAAAATGCAACTAGTTTGTGAGATGATAAGTCCTTTGCTACTACAGAAAAATATGCAACAGATCAGGAAATCAGGAAAAGAAAATAGAAATAGAAAACATTGCATGTAAAATGAAACTGAGCAGTCCTGTGCAGTAGAAAAAGATGCAACAGATCAGTTAGAGCCAATATTGTCAATACTCGGCATTTTCATTGCGCAGTATTTATCATATATCGCTATTAATGTTAATATAATATACAGCGTAATTAAATACTGCACTGGGTGTAGACCAGACTATTGCCTGAAAACCAGAGAGAGTCTCTATCAGACAACTGCCAACTTGATATATAGATAGATACATGTATTTTATTGATCCCCTAGTGGAAATTCAGGATAAGGGAGATTAAGTGATAAAGAGAAAGACTGTAAACGTGCTGAACAATAATGATCTATATCAAATACAACAAACCAGAAGAAACAAAACATTCAGAAAGTCTATTGTCCTTAAAATGCTTAATGTTTCAGTTCAGCATTTACCTCTGTATCATATTCAAACTCCTGATTCTCTCGATAGGGCCCACTTGCTTTCGCCAATACAATGGCGAACAATTAACAAAATGCTTCCTGATGTTGTAATCATGTGTAAAAGGTAGGAATTACCATGCTATAAATCCTGCGCTCCGCACCACACTCCCAGACATAAACATCCCCCCATAGAGTTCTTATGATCGTGGGAGCAGGCCCTAATCATGATGTATACCACTTGTCTCATGTAGCTGAAAC